CTGTCCGCAAAATAGCACGGAAACAAGTTTATTTTGATTTTCTTTTCATTGTATCGATTTTTCACGATTTTGTTCCGTCCTCGAAAATCACAGAGAAGAACTTCTCTGAAATACATACAACGGATATTTTCTTAAGTTTCCCATCGTTAAGTGATGGGGATTATGTAACAATAGGGTCTAAGGTATCGGGCCGATTTTCCATTCCTCGGTATCGTCACAACACAGCGCCACGCGGACCCCTTCCGTGGTAACATACCACCTGCAGAGGTGCTTGTCAATGGCAAACTGTCACTGGAGATGTCTGGGTAATCCTGTTTTAGTTCACACGGGTTAAACCTGCCGTGTAAATCGGTGTTATGGTTGACAAGTACGCCTTAGTCTCTAGTACACTGTCTGAACTGGAGTACATAATGATTCCGGAAAAATCAAGCTCTTGAAACTTTCGTGGAAATACAGTGATTGTGAAGATTAGGACCGATAGCTTTTTCAGTTACTGTTTATACATTTTCCCTATTTTGACAAACTTGCTGTTTAAAGAGCCAGACCCACTCCTCGACCGATATTTTTTTTTTTATTTTTCTCGGATAGCAAAAGTTCTGACTAACCCTGTAATACCGCAATTTTAAAGTAAATCGCTACCAATCTAACGTAAGAAATAGTTTTAAAAAGATTTCGAAACGACTCCGTGCTAATTTTTAATTATGCGGGAAGTTCTGCCCTCTGACGCATGCGAAAGGAACTGTAAATAAATCTGCGGTCTTCCAACATGGCAGAAAGCGTGCGAGGGAAGCGGGTTTTGACGGACTCGGAGGCAAAAAGAAGGAAGATGGCTGGTTCATACTCTGTATCGCTCTCTGTTTGGCTCTCTCGTGTAGTATCACTCTAAAATCATATTCATAAATACTCTTATCATCCAATATTCGCTTTAGATAGATCCATTTCGCGATGTTCTATCTGTTCGTTACCCTTATCGTAGCCCCCATTTGAGGGCCTCTTTCCAATTAATCGTAGATTTTCACGTAATCTGCACGTTTTTGTGTCATATGTAAGCATTGAAAGATGTGATCAATACAAACGTTAGATGATTTCCATACAGGATATATAGAGTATTGATTGTATTTATCGGTAAAATCTCTTTACAAGCGTTGTGACATGGACGTACTACTCAGCTCTTCCTCCATTTTTGTTTTGGTTCTGACCACGTCTGAACGTATCACGTGACTTTTCATCATCAATATTCATATCCTTGTGTTGATTAATGAGACTAATTCCGGCACCGATATCTCCGGTACCCTTTCAATTTCAAGTTCGAAACTTTATACAAGTCTTTAATTATATATTATGTAATAATATACAACAACATTTCCAATCAATAAGATATGGATAAATATCTATAATGTAGTGGGTCTGGCTCTTGAACTTCATCACAAAAAGAACAAAAAAAATCACGCCATCTTTTATTTCAACCTAGTTGCGATCAGCTCTCAGATTCCATTTCGTATCTGTGGTAAGGTACATCAAGTACGATGTGAAATGATATGATCTTAATTAAATCATTCATCACTGGATTGTTTTATTATACAAATACAAAGAGACCATATCGATTGGATGTTCTCTCAGTAAAAGCTTTAAACAAGGACTCTTTTTGAACTACAAAAGGGACAGCTGTCGTATTTTCGTTATTTCGTTTTATCTTTATTTCGTTAATTCGCTTTTGGTAATTTTGACAATTCGCTCTTTTTCTTTTTCGTTCTTTTGGCGAATTCGATCGTTCATAAAGTCTTAAAGGCGTTTTTTAGTAACTTTATTGTTTTTTTTTTCGTTATTTCGTTTTTTGTTTTGTTTTTGCATGATAGTTGTACAGTGAAACCTCAAAATTACGACCACCCAGCTGTTACGACACTTTTTAAAAGTCTATTTCAGTTTCCCACTATATCTTTGAATTGGTCGCTTCAGTATTACAACCACCACACTATTCTGTATTACAATCATCAGTCTTTGTACTTATGAAAGGAACCAGTCACCATATGTTAAGAATTACCACACAGACTGTTTGTTCTCCTCTTCAAATCATTTTTGATATTCTATTATATATCAATATATTTTTCAGCTAGTTGGAAAATAGCCAAAGTCATGCAACTGTTTGAAAATGCGATAGGCATTCTCCTAATTATAGGCCAAATTCTCTTTTATCTACAGATGGGAAAGTTTTTGAACGTGTTGCTTTCAAGCACCTACATTATTATTTCGTTGAAAACTCACTTTTCATAAACATCAACTAATTGAAATTGATCACAATATCTATACTGCTCTTGAAGAGGGAAAAACATGTATTTAAGGTATTCTGTGACATTTCAATGGCGTTTGATCGGGTTTGGCATAAAGGTTCGATGGAGACGGCTTTCTGTGCTGAATGATATATCTGGTAAGAAAACAATTTATTTCACAGACAGTTTTACCTTCAGTTAGGTTGGTGTGAAGCATTTATGCCATGCATAGTGAAAAAAATAGCCTCTTAAAAATTTCCTAAACGATTCATTTCGTAAGTTTAAGAATATGCGTGTGCATTACGGGTTATGGTTGTACTAGATTTCAATCAGACAGGTTAGAGAAAATCCCCAAAGGCGCTGCTTGTTTTGTAACATGCCTTCTTCTCATACCCGTGTAGGAGATACAGAGGTTTAATCAGGTTTAGATAATCGTTCAAATCACCGAAAACGTAGAAAACGACAACTTTTATGTAAAATGCACAACCAGTTAACTTCGGTTTATATGAATGGTCTCCCGTCACCTACTGTTGCTAAAACAACATTATAAATCATACATTTTTCCACAGTTTAAGAATATGCTTGTTTATCATGGGATGGTTAAACTACATTTGGATAACAGTAGTTATTAAATACCTCCATTTCGACTTTTAACAAATCTCTCCTTTATACATTTTACTCTTCGTTGCTGGAACTCATTAGATCGTTGCCTTAAGTAAATTCTAAATTTCTCTTACAACCATATTCGCCTATCTACTCCAGTTCTGGAGAACAAAAGTTGAATACTATGCGCACTTAACGGAGTCACAAATGAGGTACCATCAAATATGACCTTTTTCGAAGATTTAGTTTGTAACTGTGGACATCCTAATGAAAAGCGTTATTACTTTTCGTGTCAATTTTTCAACACTGAAATGCGCATCAAAATCTGTATGGCTTAGGCACAGAGTTAATCTTCGACCTTGTTTTGTTTGGTAGTTTAAATCTTTTTGTAGACCTAACCTCCCCTGTGTTTAGACATGTGTGAGTATCTACCAAATGCAGCTATAAAATTTGAGAAATGTTTTAATGCTGTGATCCTGTATCTGTATAGTTTTCACATATAAATGTATTTCTACTTAATCTGATGTCTATTTCAGTGATACCATGTAAATGTTATTTTATAATGGGAGAAGGTTTCATAAGTTATAATAGCTTGTGACCCCATCCCTTGCCCAAATTGATATTGGCAATGAAATGTGTTTTTGAGTAAATTACTCTGACAGAAATAGTCCCTGGTTATTTCCTGGTTGTATACATTATTCTCATTTGAGAAGGTGACATTACTTACTCGGATTGACCAAGTTTGACATGGCGGGTGTGGTCGATAAGGCAGTATAGATGCTTACTCTTCCGGAACACCTGGTCTTGTTATCCTTGTACTTTTCTTCAGGAGTCTCCGTGTAAATCTTTTTGTTCATATTTTTGTCGAAGTTTTGTAAAAAATTGAGCTTCGATTATGATTATGTTGCCATGTTAGTATTTTCTTTATTTTTTTAAAACGGCTTCTGACATTAAAAACACTTTCAAGTCCTAGAAGGACCAATTAGTTGTATGGTGTAGCCATCATTAATCAGCTCTCCAAATCTCATTTTGTTGCTGTTCACTTGTGTTCTTTGTGCGTTCTTGTCATAGTAAATATTTTAGTAAACAATATATTAATGCTATGAAACAGTTTTTTTTCGGGTTAGTAAGTATTTACGTGAAATGGGTATTGAAAGTCCACTTACAATAACAGTCAAATACGCGATTTCATTGCCTACGCTGTCACTTATTTTCAAAGCGGTTGTACTTTGCTGCCAAGACACCCTGTGATGAATACCAAAACTACTAGTACTTGGGCTTACGAAAACATAAAACTGTAATTTAAAGTTTTTTTCCAACATTTGTTGCAAATCTAAATGTGTTCGTTTTAAGATGGGTAAACGAGATTGTTTATAAAGGCCCTCGTTACATGGAGTAAGTAGTATGAACGCACCTATGCTTACTTTTATTAAACTTCCTCGTCGTGAGAATATTAGATATTTTATCCTGTAGTATATCCAACTAATTTGATTTCTGTTTGATAGTGTTGATGTTATGGCCTTAATTTTTGCTACTCTAATAGAAACACACCGCACTTCAACACTAACCGTAGCGTCAAATTACTGTCTTCTTCGAAGGTCACAACACCAACACTGTATATGAAGTAGTTTCATTTCTGATTCGTCGTTCTAAGTACATTTTAATTTCATATAAAAAGGCATTCACCTATTCCCTTGAATGATTTTTTTTCAAGCACACTTTGCCGAAATAAGATTTTGCATCGATTTGAAACGATCGATAAATCTTAAGACTATCTTAAATCAAAGTTTTTCTGTTCCGATGTTAAGCCCTGGTAAAAGACTTGTGGAAAACTTAGAATACCCTTTCAATACTTTCTAAACATAAATGATAAATTTAAATGTTTTCCGCTAATGTGTTGACAAGTCCATATCGAGGTCTGATTTGAATAATGTTTTGTATTGTATAACGGTCCGTTGACGTTTGGTGATATTGAAAATTGATCAGTAATTGTGTGTGTGTATTATATTAATTCGAGCCGACAGTTTAAATATATATAAATATATGTTAAGATCGGTGCCTATCATTATACCCATACACAGAATTCGTCCCGACAAGATTTTCTCTTCGTAAGAACGAGAACAATATAACTATGGAAATGCTTGAAATCTTCAACCAAATTCAATTCAGAAACCAAATCAATGTGTTGATTGTTTGGGACTTGTGTATTCTGTGATTCTTTCGTGTTGGATTTAATCCTTTTATACCTTGTGATATTTTTCAGGTTTAAAGGGTATGAGAGAGGCCTGCATAACCGGCTTAGACCAGACGACATAGGGAAGGAACATGGGTATTTAAAGTCGTGTTCAAGGCTCGAGTATTATACATTCTGGTGTGTGTAAAGGTATTTTAAATATACACAATGAAATGTATCTTCTGGTGTCACGACGGTTCTCGGCTCCTTGTATCTTCGCTGCTGGACACGATATCAAACCAATATACAAAATCGCGATGAACGGTACAGTGGAGCCATACACGATACTTATTGAAAATGTTTAATTTCGGAGTTCTTTAATAGAAGGTTTGTGTGCGCTGACTTTCGTGTTTAAACGGACATATCTTATATATATATCTAAGTGACTCTCTCTTGTGTACACAGACTTGTTAGTCTGTAGGCTGGAGTTTAAGGAACTGACTAGTGTTAGGACTATGGTCAGTGCTAACACGGAGAGATACAAGACCTATTGGAGGGCGTCTGTGATAATCGATCGTAGTACTCGCTCAATATCTGAGAAATATTTACATATTTAGCTGGGACATAGATGTGTCATTGACGTACCACTGTCGATAGTGACTGGCTGCCGTTACAGCACCTAGTTATACAGGTGTGGAAGCCGTGCAAGTATGAGGAGGTGAAACAACACAGGTGTGTGGAGGTGAAACAACACGTGTGTGGGGAGGTGAAACTATAAAGGTTTGGGATAGTGGAACTACCAGCTGTGAAGAGGTGAAAATACAGGTGTGAGGAGGTGAAACCACACAGCTGTAAAGAGGTGAAAATACAAGTGTATGGAGGTGAAACTACACAGCTGTAAAGAGGTGAAAATACAGGTGTGAGGAGGTGAAACTACACAGGTGTGAGGATGTCAAAATACAGGTGTGAGGAGGTGATACTACACAGGTGTGAGGAGGTGAAAATACATGTGTATGGAGGTGAAACTACACAGCTGTAAAAAGGTGAAAATACAGGTGTGAGGAGGTGAAACTACACAGGTGTGAGTAGGTGAAAATACAGGTGTGTGGAGGTGAAACTACACAGTTGTGGGTAGGTGAAACTGTAAAGGCTTGGGATAGTGGAACTACCAGCTGTGAAGAGGTGAAAATACAGGTGTGTGGAGGTGAAACCACATAGCTGTAAAGAGGTGAAAATACGGGTGTGAGGAGGTGAAACCACATAGCTGTAAAGAGGTGAAAATACAGGTATGAGGAGGTGAAACCACACAGCTGTAAAGAGGTGAAAATACAGGTGTGTGGAGGTTAAACTACATAGGTGTGAGGAGGTTAAACCTCACAGGTGTAGGTAGGAGAAGCCACACAGATCCAAGGAAGTGATACGGCAAAAGGAAACACTAGATAAGGCGATTTGTGTGTGTAAACCCTCGAGTACTGACAAGTGAAGGGAGTTTCACTCGATATACATAAACATATTGACTCGAATGCCTTGTGCTGGGCCGATTCCAAATATAGTACGAAGGAATAAAGACGTAATTGAAAATGCGATTGATCAGTTGCGAGGTGAAGAGGATGTTCAAACATTAGAACGTGGCGACCTGTTTCACGACAAACGTAAGTAGGATGATAAGTTCAACAGACAAAACTTGACGGAAATAAACTTAATTGAAAGTGGTATTGGTGATTTGAATAATGGGTATATCATTAACCTGCTCTTCAGATGTTTAACAATCACCAGGGAGTATCGATAGGTAAACATTCATTCGAGAACATTTCCACGGATAAATCCGGACCGGAAGTAGCAAATGATTTGCGAAGACATTTAAAAGCCGAGAAGGGCAATGTTCTAACTGAGTTGTCAAATGTAAATGGGACTAGTTGTGTGAAAAGTCATCACTCATTGCCTTTAAACCATAAAATGGTATCAGAAGGAGAATGTGAGAGGAAATTGACAGTTGTAATGGGCGAAAAGATGGTGTATGATTTTGTTTCGCGAAGAGATACTGCGAGACGCAATTTGATGGGCCATTTATACACACGTCAACCCGTGTTAAAACGGAGTTACTCGTTTGTTGCCGGTGAACGTCCTTCGACGGAAACGTTACTCCCACAGCTTCACAGGAGAGAAAAACATTCCGCTATTAGTTTTAATTCCGAAAAATATACAAAACCAGGACGGACTGTTTATATACGAAACGCAAAACAATGGCAGGCAGATAAAAATGTAGAAAAACGGAACGGGGTTGTACAGTCACCTGCGGGTAAAAACAGCGCAAATCACAAATCTCTGAATACAAATGGGGGACGTCCTGGTAGTCACCAGATCAGTCTGCCGGAACTTATCAACGACATAAATAATTCATCCAGGATCCACTCTCCGGGGGACTCGGATGACGAGGATTCAAATAGTGTCCACGGGCGTAATGGACCTTACCATTTAATACGAAGCATGGATGTGAAACCGACTATTCCTTTGAAGTCAAAAACGGTGAAATATCGGCCAATTACTCCCGGCGTTATAGAAAAGTTGAATAAATTACGATTGTCATCTAAGTTACGCACAGAGCAGTGGGTAAAAACTCTTCCTCTGGACTACCGAGCTGCGTATTCAGAGATAGATGATAATATTACCGAATCTTCTGAACATTCACCTAAAGAAAAGGAATGGATTTATACAACCACTTAGGACTTATATAATTGAATATGTGCAGGAGTTATTCTTCACCTGGTAGATTGAACCACATGTATATGATTTACCGTCCGGTGTGAACACGTGTACGAGACATCGGCAGGTTCGAATGGACCACGCGTGTTTATATGGGATGTAGTTTTGACTGGTTAGACCCAATATTTGACACGCTATGACGATATCATAGAATCCTCCACTCCCTTGGAGGTGAAATAGGTGCATCTCAACCTGAGGTGAAAGATGATTAAGTTAGCAAAAACGAGGTTTACATACATTGTGCCACTTACTAATCTTTTCCCAGGGGTGAGGTCTCCCATCTCACCAACAAAGGGGTGAATGATTATTTTTCTCTTACCCTGCTGACCTTATTAGGAAATGGTATGTGATATATCTTGGTTTTCCAGTCGGCTTCGCATCGTTGACGTGACGTCAGTTAATTGTTACTGTGACGTCATACCATTGTCATGACCGGGGAATTCCCCATTTAAAACCAAGGATGAAACAAGGCAATCTGACACCAGCAAAAGATGCAGGGTAAGACAAACTAGAGTCGGAGTGTTAATAACGTGACTACGCATTAAAGGAAACGAATTGTAAATTAGCAATTGTGGTTCTAGCACATGTTCAGGATAAGACTTTAAACATCATGGAATATCTCAACATATGTCACTTAAAACTGTCACCTCAATCTCTTTGTCCATGTAAATAAAGCAATTTCTAAGCAAATTACTATAAATTTTAACAAGCTGTACAGCTGACGAAGAACATCCGAACGCGCCAAAGCGTTCATAAGATTTTGATGAAGCATCTAAATGACTCGGTAGTTCTTACGTCTAGACAGACAGGTATGTTAATTTCTCAGCGCAAATGGCCTATATCTGATTATTTTGGATTATGCTGGAAACAAAACAGTTTTTTCATATCTTAAGTCCAGTCTTGAGTAAAAACTATTTAACTTCGGTGTTGATGCAAACTCGATGAACTGTTAAGATGGAAACAGTTCGTCACCTTGTTCCCAACACCGAGTGTTGCCTGAAAATATATGAGACTGCTTTCTATATATCTATGTTAAATTTATATAATATATGAACAATGACATTGTATTCGCTGTATATTTTATTTTCCACGGAAATTATTTACAAAAATTAAAATTGATAAAACAGAGTAAAAAGTCACGTGACGTTTTGACTCTTTTGTTCTCACCAATCTGTTGACAATATTTTTTCTTCCCGAGTTTAATTCCTTTATTTTTGTGCGAGATTCGTCATTCCGTTAAGAAAAGTAAGACAGGCAGTTTTTCCGCTGTTATCTGATCAAGCCTAATCGATTTCGTACTTCCTATCATCTGCGATAATCCAGAGATTAAAATCAATGCCGCTCTCTGTACCCCTGTAACATGTCTCTCTGTACCCCTGTAACATGTCTCTTTGTACCTCTGTAACATGTCTCTCTGTGCCCCTGTAACATGTCTCTCTGTACCCCTGTAACATGTCTCTCTGTAACATGTCTCTCTGTACCCCTGTAACATGTCTCTTTGTACCTCTGTAACATGTCTCTCTGTGCCCCTGTAACATGTCTCTCTGTACCCCTGTAACATGTCTCTCTGTACCCCTGTAACATGTCTCTCTGTATCCTGTAACATGTCTCTCTGTACCCCTGTAACATGTCTCTCTGTAACATGTCTATCTGTACCCCTGTAACATGTCTCTCTGTACCCCTGTAACATGTCTCTCTGTACCCCTGTAACATGTCTCTCTGTACCCCTGTAACATGTCTCTCTGTATCCCTGTATCATGTCTCTCTGTAACATGTCTCTCTGTACCCCTGTAACATGTCTCTCTGTAACATGTCTCTCTGTACCCCTGTAACATGTCTCTCTGTACCCCTGTAACATGTCTCTCTGTAACATGTCTCTCTGTACCCCTGTAACATGTCTCTCTGTAACATGTCTCTCTGTACCTCCTGTAACATGTCTCTCTGTACCCCTGTAACATGTCTCTCTGTACATGTCTCTCTGTAACATGTCTCTCTGTACCCCTGTAACATGTCTCTCTGTAACAACATGTCTCTCTGTACCCCTGTAACATGTCTCTCTGTACCCCTGTAACATGTCTCTCTGTACCCCTGTAACATGTCTCTCTGTAACATGTCTCTCTGTACCCCTGTAACATGTCTCTCTGTACCCCTGTAACATGTCTCTCTGTAACATGTCTCTCTGTACCCCTGTAACATGTCTCTGTAACATGTCTCTCTGTACCCCTGTAACATGTCTCTCTGTAACATGTCTCTCTGTACCCCTGTAACATGTCTCTCTGTACCCCTGTAACATGTCTCTCTGTACCCCTGTAACATGTCTCTCTGTAACATGTCTCTCTGTACCCCTGTAACATGTCTCTGTACCCCTGTAACATGTCTCTCTGTATCACTGTAACATGTCTCTCTGTATCACTGTAACATGTCTCTCTGTACCCCTGTAACATGTCTCTCTGTAACATGTCTCTCTGTACCCCTGTAACATGTCTCTCTGTACCCCTGTAACATGTCTCTCTGTACCCCTGTAACATGTCTCTCTGTAACATGTCTCTCTGTACCCCTGTAACATGTCTCTCTGTACCCCTGTAACATGTCTCTCTGTAACATGTCTCTCTGTACCCCTGTAACATGTCTCTCTGTAACATGTCTCTCTGTACCCCTGTAACATGTCTCTCTGTACCCCTGTAACATGTCTCTCTGTAACATGTCTCTCTGTACCCCTGTAACATGTCTCTCTGTACCCCTGTAACATGTCTCTCTGTACCCCTGTAACATGTCTTTCTGTACCCCTGTAACATGTCTCTCTGTAACATGTCTCTCTGTAACATCTCTGTACCCCTGTAACATGTCTCTCTGTAACCCTGTATCATGTCTCTCTGTACCCCTGTAACATGTCTCTCTGTACCCCTGTAACATGTCTCTCTGTACCCCTGTAACATGTCTCTCTCTCTGTACCCCTGTAACTCTGTAACATGTCTGTCTCTCATGTCTCTCTGTACCCCTGTCTCTCTGTAACATGTCTCTCTGTACCATGTCTCTCTCTGTACCCCTGTAACATGTCTCTCTGTATGTCTGTCTCTCTGTACTCTCTGTAACATGTCTCTCTGTAACATGTCTCTCTGTAACATGTCTCTCTGTACCCCTGTAACATGTCTCTCTGTACCCCTGTAACATGTCTCTCTGTACCCCTGTAACATGTCTCTCTGTAACATGTCTCTCTGTACCCCTGTAACATGTCTCTCTGTACCCCTGTAACATGTCTCTCTGTAACATGTCTCTCTGTACCCCTGTAACATGTCTCTCTGTATCCCTGTATCATGTCTCTCTGTACCCCTGTAACATGTCTCTCTGTATCCCTGTATCATGTCTCTCTGTACCCCTGTAACATGTCTCTCTGTATCCCTGTAACATGTCTCTCTGTATCCCTGTAACATGTCTCTCTGTAACATGTCTCTCTGTACCCCTGTAACATGTCTCTCTGTACCCCTGTAACATGTCTCTCTGTACCCCTGTAACATGTCTCTCTGTACCCCTGTAACATGTCTCTGTAACATGTCTCTCTGTATCCCTGTAACATGTCTCTCTGTAACATGTCTCTCTGTACCCCTGTATCATGTCTCTCTGTAACATGTCTCTCTGTACCCCTGTAACATGTCTCTCTGTACCCCTGTAACATGTCTCTCTGTATCCCTGTATCATGTCTCTCTGTACCCCTGTAACATGTTTCTCTGTAACATGTTTCTCTGTAACATGTCTCTCTGTAACATGTCTCTCTGTACCCCTGTAACATGTCTCTCTGTATCCCTGTATCATGTCTCTCTGTACCCCTGTAACATGTTTCTCTGTAACATGTTTCTCTGTAACATGTCTCTCTGTACCCCTGTAACATGTCATGGCAAAATTGAAGGCACAAGTGAAGTAATTTGATTAGTTCCAGCATAAAAAACCTTGAAAAATCACGTCCTGATAGGTTCCTTTTAAATATTACAAAGGTGTGACACCCAATTTCAACGCCATAACGACCTCGAGATTCGTTTGATGTACATCAAAGGACCAAACTAATCTTTTCGTCTTGTCCACAATGTGTCGTACACGGAAATTTGACATGACATATTCCAGAGGTGGAGAGAGCGAAACCGATCGTAACCCCTGGGGTGTCGAGGTTAACTTTCGGTATCGTGTGTGATGATTTTGCCAAAGCAAGGAAATAAACTGCCTTATACAATCTCATGCAAATTTATATGGATATATCATTATATGTTATCAATGATGTTCACTGAAATTTAACAGGAAAAACATTGTTCAATATTGTTTCTAAAAAGACTTTGTTTGATTAAAACTACGTACAATTTAAACATATGAGTTGAGGAATGGGTCAGATAATTCACAAGCAGAAACGTTCTTTTATTCCAATATCAGCAAATCGATTGAATCGTGGCAGGATTGTACATAATATTGATTTCCCAATTCATTCATCACCGAATTGTATTAGGAAGGTAAAGTACATATGACAACGAAGAAAACTTTCGCGTCGGACACAAAATACTAATTCTTTCATCTATCCTCGTTTTGTTAAATAGATGGTTTATCTATTCGAAAAACCTTTTTATTTTCTTTTTTTTTATCTTGAAATTTAAAGAATTACATATCCTTGTATTAATATCTATCAGAATTAGAAAAATATCAACCGATTTTGTTTGTAGTTGGGTAAAATATCCCGTATGGAAGCGTGCCATATATCACAAAGCTGATACAAATATTTTGCCACTTGGTCTAAAGTAATGGGTTGAAAATGCTGATTATTGACAAACTTACGTACGGAAACTTTAATGATCTAGTCCTAGCGTTGTATGGGATAGAGATAGGATCAGCAGAATCAAACTTATAATGTAATAGAATAGGCACTAGATTTATATTGGAAAAACAAACAAACAAAAACGGAAAGTCGGTGGCACTTTTTGGTTCTATAGGGTAAGAATTATGGAATACAATCTTGCCATGAATATCCAAGCGAGTTTTGAAGTCGTTGATAATCTTCTTTTCCGATATGATCAAATAAACGTGAATTTTACGAAACGCGATAATGACTTGTTGATCAGACTGGTAAAAAGATGGTTTCTGGGTACCGACCTACCATATTTATCTCCTAAGAACAGGTCTGGTGTTTTTGCCAAGTTGATATGTGACCATATCCTGGGTGTTGGGGATATATTTGTACAGACCAGGTGATTGTAACTGACCCGATACGAGGTTGCCGTGATATTGATGAATACCTGGTTCTTATCATATTAATAATGATCGGCCTGGCGAGTGTGCCAATGGATGGAAGATATCACAACTCGGTCAACACATTCAGTCTACCCGGTGTTACCATATATCAGACGATTCTACATGCCGTATACATTTGTATTAATAGCCATCAATTCGTTGTCATATTGACTTTAGAAAACACAATAAATAAATTACATGTTTTTTTTTTTTTTATTTTTGTGAGGCCGCCATGGGGGTTCCAAAATCAGGTTGACAAGCTGGCAATGTTTGGTGTTATATCAACACATTTTTATTGATCAGCACTATATATACCTCGTATCAACGTTACCACTTCACAGTAACCTGTCTTACATTCGATTTTACTACTTCGTCGTCTAGTTGTCTATAGCTGGCAGTCAATGATAAGTTACTACATCTCCGTTAGTAGTGTAACGGTGACCTGAGATAACTGGTCTCTATCAACTTTGTTGTTCAAATTGATTGTTTATCTTCTTGAATTGATATCCCTAGTTTTTTTTGTTATTTATCTAGTTATAGTTTTACTCATGTTTGAAGTAGCCTTTCATAAAACATCTTTCTTGTGCAATAGGCTGGTGTTTTGTTCAGTAATCTGTTTACATTGAGTCCGTGGATTTTGTTTATATGTCCTCATTTGTCGGTCATTGTACACCGTCAATAGTAAATATTATCCACTGTCGTCAGCTCTGTGAGGTTCTCTCCGTTCTTTGGACTTCCATTGATACCCGTAATGAATTATAATTATATCCCTCCTACTTGTTTTCATGTCAATAGCGATGTTGATATCTTGGCACTTTTAGCATGTTAAGTCTGTCCTAGTATCCTGAATACCATGCA